TGGCAGAGTCTTAACTTTGATAAAGAATATCTCTTTGGTTTTGGGACTTTAGTCTTTGCAACTTCAGGGATCTTATCTATGCACAATCAGCTTGTAACACTCCAAAGAGAAAGGAAAACTTGAAATCGCATCATATGACCCCTTTAAATCTCATCATTTCCCTGCCCTCATTCCACTCCTAACAAGTTCCTGAAGAACTTGTGAAGACTTTAATTACAGTGAATGGTGACTAGAGCTTTCAGGATTCATCAATGGATGCAAAACACCATAAAATTATCATAAAAGTGGTCAATATGACTTTTAAGCCATAAGTTCATCTCTGCTGTTTTGTTTTCTCATGCCTCTTTTGTCGTTGTTTAAGTTTGCTTGTTGGTTTCATGACCCATTTGACTAGGATCCAGAGCTGGTGCGGAACATCTGTCGGTGGGTTCGGCAGGCTGTTCGGATCCCGTTCTTTGCCAAACTCACCCCTAATGTGACCAACATCGTGGACATTGCCAAGGCTGCACAGGAAGGTATTTGGCCATTTTTATGGTAAATTTGTACTGTTTTGGGATGATAATAGTGGTAAATTTATTATATATATATATATTTTTTTGTCTTTGATTCATTAACCCATCTCCCTCAACTTTCACAGTAAAGGCAACCCAACTACATTTCCCATCATTCTGTAGCACATAAAAATAATAAAATGGTCGGAAGTTTGGAATAATTAATATTTTTTAAATGTTTTTGAAAGAAGTCTCTACTCACTAAGTCTGCATATATTTGATCAAAAATACAGTAAATACAGAATAATGCAAAATATTATTACAACATGAACTTTTTATTTTAATATATTTAAAAAATTATTTTATATTTGTGATGGCAAAGCTGAATTTTCAGCAGCCTTTAGTGTCTGATGATCTTTCAGAAATCTTTCTAATATGCTGATTTGCTGCTCAAGAAACATTCTCTTATTATTATCAATATTGAAAACAGTTTTTGCAGCTTAATATTTTTTTTGTGGAAACTATTATGTTTGGGGTTATGTAAGCTTTTTTTAATAAGAAGTTAATACATTTATTTAGCAGGGATACATAAAATTGATCAAAATTGACAGAAAAGACATTCATAATGTTACAAAAGATTTTACTTAAAAATGACATGTTCTAAAAAATGAAAAATTCAGGATTCTTTCATCAAAGAATCCTGAATTTTTTTTAATCTCCGTTTCCGCAAAAATATTAAATATTAGCAAAAACAGTTTTCAACATTGATAATATTGAATTTTTATTAATAAATGAACTATTATTAATAATTAAACACCAATAATAATTAATAATAATAATAATAATAACTGAGCTCCAAAAAAGCATATTAGAATGATTTCTGAAAGTTATTGTAAATTGTTATATTTTACAATATTACTGTTTTACTGTATTGTTGATCAAATCAATGATCTTCTTTCAAAAACATAAAAAATATATATTATTACAGACTTTTGACTGGTAGTGTATATAAACATCTTTTTGTTTTTACTTGTCATAATTTATGTATAGAAGTCTTAAAGGTACTGTTGCAAAAACAGCCTGTTTAATTCTAAAGGTCAGAGAATAGTGGAAAATGGTCATTTTTTGATGCAAGAAACCTTGACTAATGTTATAAATGGACTTCAGGGAAAAGAAACAGAAGTGTAGAACATGTCCTCTATAAAACTCTTTTCCAGTCCAGACATTA